ATAAAACCTGAAATTGCACTAAAGTTATATGACCTAAGGGAATTTTAGAGTAACAACAAAATCCTAATACTCACTATAGTTAAAGCAAAATTCTTTTTCTCTCCCGTCCAAAGAAAAAAAAAGCGTTATTGTCGTCTAGGCTGATTTTATGTTTCTGCCATATAGGAATTACGACCTAAAGAAAAAAGGCGTTTCTTTTTTCTTCCCATGTTTAGAAATATATTTCAAATTTTTAAAAATTTCTACTGTTTTTTAAATACTCTTCGAAAAAATACTCCTAATAAAAAAGGATTTCCTAGTATTCGAAAGGACGTTCAAGAAAATGGAAAATGGTTGCCCTTCCTATAACTGGATTTGCTGCTTCTCTGAAAAGCCAAATAGACTAAAAAAGAAAATTGTCACCCTGTTGCTTTAGGAAGCTTGCATTATTTCGTTATCCTATTGAAGCTTCCTTCGAAGTCTTCCGACATCGTTTTTATCGAACGAGAGTATCGACCTCGTTGAACTTTCTGACAGAATAGTAACAAGATTACAGCTTTATATTGGTCAGATTCAAGGTGCCTGGTTATAACGATTCGTTGTAACTTGTAATAGACATTTAATTAAAGATTGAAGTTTTAAAAATGGAAGTCAGGAAAATTCCCCAGAATGACAAATAATCAAAATTGAACAGATATAGTAATACTCCTCCATCTCTTATTTGAGAAAATGTCAAAAGTTTTTTTTTCAAAATTAAATGTTTCACACTTTCAATTTATGAACATTTCGCTTCATTCGTTTCTTGATCTTTCATTAAAGTTTTATTCCGTCAATGTCAATTTCACGAAAGTTTATAGCTTTCTTTTAATTTAATAAAGACTTTGATTAAAAAATAAGTGATACGGGTGAGAAAGATATTTTCTCATTGTTTTTTATATTTCTAATGTCAATCTTTATGTTATGAGATTTCAAATTTGATATATTTCCTCTTTGATTTAAGTCAGGACATTAATTTTTGTTTTGCAATTATAGTTAAGAAAAAATGTCAGCAGAATCAACTGAAGATCACAAGGTCAACAGTTATCAACTTGCAAACGTCTGTAAAACACTATCCAATAAAAATACCAAATTATTTTACTTATGTAATTTATAATTAGCAAAGGGAATGATAATCCTACTGGTATGAAACTTACACACGTCATATAATTTTTTCTTGCTTCCAACTTTTATAAAGTGCAACTACAAAATCGTGACGTGTTTTATAAAGAGTTTTCCGTAAACAGTACATGATGCATGAGAAAATTAAAGAAAAATATTCAGACAGCATCCACCATCTGAATATATTTTTAATATATTCTTTATTCCCCTTGTGTAAATTCTTACCGAATTGCAAAAACAATTTTTAAAATCATTTGAAATGATAATTAAAAAATCCCTTTTAGATTACATAATTAATCAATCCAAGAATGACAAAAGTCTTGTTAATGATTACAGCTGATTCTTGAAAAACAGTGTTTTACTATACAATAACGCAACATTTGTATTAACTTTTAAGGATATAAAATGATAATATTCCTTAATTGATAATTTTTTAGTCTAGACTTGCCTCCACTAACTCAGGAACGATTCAAATTGATTCTTGTAAGGATCTTGTTTATAAGGAATAAAATAATCATTAACGTATTAATGTTCTTTTGGCATGAAATACAAATTATTCTTTAAATAAAAGAAAAATTAAAAGAGATTTTAAAGAACTATTAACTTAATTCTTCAAGAACTATCATAAAATTATTACTTAGAAATTATTTCAATTATTTTTAATATCTACTATTTTAATAACATTTTCCAAAAGAATTCAATTATTTAAACAAAATTTTAATAAGAATTCCACAGGAACTCAATTACTTACCAATTTGTTATAAATTTCTTCGAACCAATTCAATTATTTTTAATTTTTTTAATGAAATTTCTCGAAAAAATTCAAATATATTCGGAGAATTGAAAAACAATAGTTCTGAAAAATTCAATTATTTCGAAAAATTTAAATAAAATTTATTTAAAAATTTTATTATTTAAAAAAATTTTGCCAAAATTCTTTACAAAATTTAGTTAATAAAGTTTTCAATGCAATTCTTCTTAAAAATTCAATTTTTTACAAATAATACATCTTTTTATGCAAATTCAATTATTTAAGAAATTTTAATAAAATTCTTCCTAAGAATTATTTACATTTTCATTTAATTATTTACATAAATAATTTTCGGAAGAATTAATTATTTTCAACAATAACAAAATTTTTCAATGAAATTAAATTCTTTTTAAACATTTGTAAATATTTTTCGCAATAATTCAATTATTTTCATAAATATTATAAAATTCATAGCAGGATTTCAATTATTTTTAAAACAATTTTACAGGAATTGCTCAAAAATGTAATTATTCTTAAAAATTTTATTTCAATTCCTCGAAAAAATGAATTATTTCAAAAAAATGTTTAAATTCTTTGCAAGAATTCAATTACTTACAAAAATATTAGAATTTATCACAGGAATTCAATTATTCTCAAATATTTTAATAAAATTTTTCAAAAGAAATCAATTATTTTAAATACTATTTTAATTATTTTTTTTTTTAAATAATTCAATTATTCTTTTAGATTTTAAAAAAATTCTTCCCAAGAACTCAATTGTTCACATAAATAGTTTTCAAAAGAATTCAATTATGTCGATAAATAACCAAATTATTCCTGAAAATTTAATTATTTTGAGAAATTTTAATAAATTTTTTTTTTTTTTTAAATTCTTTGCAAAATTTAATTATTTTCATAAATAAAAATATTCATCACAAAAATTCAATTATTTTTAAAATTAATACATTTCTTCTTGGAAATTCAATTGTTTTAAAAAATTCTAATAAAATCGTTCGCAAGAAATAAATTTGTATTTTCATAAATAATAAAATTTTTCTCGAGAATTTAATTATTTTGATAAAATGCTTTATAAATTTAAAAAATTATAATAAAATTGATCATAGAATGCAATTATTTTCGTAAAATATAACATTCTTCCTAGGAATTACAATTATTATCAAAAATTTTCGTAAAAATCTTGGAAAAAATTCAATTATTTTCGTAAAAAATAAAATTCTTTGATGCAATTCAAGTATTTAAAAAATTTTAATAAAATTTTCCCCAAGAATTCAATTATTTACAAAAAAATTTAATAAAATTCTTCGTCAGATTTCGATTATTGTCAATTTTTTCATGAAATTATTCTCGATGGAATTTAATTTTTCTGAAAAAGTTTTAAAAAATTCTGAGAAATTCAATTATTATTTTCAAAAATTTGAAAATAAAATTCTTCACAAGAAATTAATTATTTTCATAAATAATAATATTTTCCTCTGAAATTCAATTATTTTCACAAATAAAACTCTTCGCAGGACATTAGTGATGTACATTGATAAGATTTTAATTCTCAAATGTCTCATTGATCTCGATAGATTATGAAGTATTCTCATAATAAAAAATCTCGTCTTTTATTAATAATTCTCGTTTCATTTCTCGTTTGTTTCTCGTTTGAAGTCAACATAAACTGAAAATTACAAAGGTTTATTTTATTTTTAAAAAATATTAATTTAAAATTCAAATAAAATATAACTTCAAAAATTTTGCTCTTTTTTAAAATTGAAAATAAACTATATTTACCATTGTATTGAATTATTTGCTGTTCAATAAATTAATATTAATAAAGATAGTAGTTCAAATTAAATAAATTACTTAGAATTGTTATTTAAAAAAAATTATTGGTTTAAATACAATTTATTTAATATATCAATAAAAAATATTTGATTCAAGTAAATATTTATGTAATAATAGACAAATAATGGCGACAAATAATAACAATTTTAATGATACGCCATTTTTTAATTTCTAAATAATTATAAAAAAACAGCTTCTTCCACGAGGAAACAAAATGGAAAAAAGGCGCCAAAATTTTCTAGTGGTAATAAAACAAAACCTCAAGCAAAAGTTTAAATACATGAAATCTAGTACATAATAAACTCTGACTTAATGATTCTTATAAGATTCTTATAACTCAAAAAAAGTTTTAGAAAGCCGCTAAGGATGCAGAAAGTCAGGTAGTTTTATAAAGTGTAGAATAATTAAGACTATCAGGAGCTCAATCAGTGGGTAGAAGTAATCACTTGCTTCAAGAAAGGAAAAGAGCTGTAGGAGGATTCTCACCGGAAAAGAAGTCGTTTGACAAAACTTTGTTCATTTTAGCCAAGAGTGCCAAGTAATTCGAGTTAATCTAACTTCCATCACTCTTCTCTTTCTTCTTCAAAAAAAAGATAGTAAAATGATTACTCTAATAAATAAAAAATAAATTTTAGACATTTTTGTACATTTCCTGTATACTAATAAAATTGTTCCATCAACATCATATGTATTTTGATGCGATATTTTTATTTTTACAAAATAAAACGTGATGAAACAAAATGGTCCTAATTTACTGGAATAAAACGCTTCGACAATTAAAAATTGTTCATCGTTATTTTTTAACGACGGGGAAGATTTTTAAAAAAGTTTGTTGATTTCTAATTGCAATTTATATCGAGTTACCAAGATTAAAATTTTAAGTAAAATATATTTTATATATGAATTAAGCGCGCTACTTAAATTTCTAAACACTTAAAATTATTTTGTAAAATACTTTTTTAAAAAAATTTTTTACACTTTTTGTAAAAAATATTTTAGATGGTGGGGGCCCATAGGCTATGATTAAAAGATACCAAATATTAATTTAAGGAAGAATTAGAATATAAAGATTAATTTCTTTTAGGAATGGATATTTAATATTAAAATAATTTGAGACTGAAACGTAATTTTGCAATGCAGTCTAAAAAAGAAAAAAAAAGAATTAGCGAATTTCTGGCACAATCCGATGGACATTGAGGATCTATCCATGAAACCCGGCCGGTTCCTAAATATAGAAGGACTATGCACTCGTTATACTCACCGAGTATGAGTAGTAGCAGAACTTGTTGCGGGAGCAAAGCCACCATTGTAGACTCTTCCTCTCGCACATTTATGATTTCAAATCGAGTACCTCCACCGTTTCTCGACTTTACTATCACTATCACCAAAACCCGACGAAACAACATTCACCTGAAATTTGTTCAATTTTTATCATCACTTGTCTCTATAGTCTTGAAATTCAATCCTTTTTTTTTTGTTGGTGCAGAATTGTTTAATAAACGACTGACTCTTCTCGGTTCTACAAATAGAATTTACCAATTGATTTTTTGCAAAACAAATCAAACAATTTTCGTGCACCAACAACACACTCTCTTCTTTCCAATTTAGCACACACCACTTTTTTTCATCCCTTTTTCTAGCTTGTCGTTTACACTCGAAAATTCTGTACTCACTGTGCTAACACTTCTTGTTATGAACAATAAATCACAACAAAAAAAATCGGACATCTGCCTAAACACAGATATTTGATAATAAATCTTAAAAAATATTTCCTTAACTTCATATCATATAGTTGACTATGAAATATTAAAAAAAATTTGTTTCACTACTTTTTCTGATTACAAAATTTATTTATTTAAATTTAAATGTATAAACGTGCATAAAAATAATCTAACAATAAATTTATTTTTAATTTATTTTAAAGGACCTTAATTGGATAAATAATAATTTTGACCTTTTTGTAGCCTTTGTTCCAAAAGAGATAAATTTATTATTTTAAATAGACGTACATTATTATATATTTATTTGTAATAAGAAATCTGTTATTCAATAAACTATTCTGAAAGTAAAAACAATAAAAGTAATTTAATTTTCATCAATTTCAGAAAAAAAAAACCTCATCAAAATTTTATTCTATTTGGAGAAATAGAATTCAATTTCATTAGAAACAATGTTTTCATGATAAAAATATCCAGATGAAAAGCAATTGCTGTTAAAAGTTGTAACCTATCTATTCTCAAAAATTATTCATCAAATTCTTTAAAACGATTCAATTATTTTCAACAAATATTCGAAATTCAATTATTCTCAATATCCAGTATTTTCCATAATATTTCGAGAAAAAAATTCAATTTTTAAAAAAAATTGATAAAACTTATCGAAAATTTAATTATTTTTATAAATAATAAAATTTAACAAAATTTTTATACAATTCTTATAAAGAATTCAATTATTTATTTAAGATACTTATACGGGCAGAGCCCTTAATACAATCGCAGGATTTCAATTATTTTTAATACAATTTTACAGAAATTGCTCAAAAAAATTTAATTTCAATTCCTCGAAAAAGTCAATTATTTAAAAAAAATGGTTTTTTTAATATTCTTTGCAAGAATTCAATTATTTTCAACAAATTTTTTTACAGAAATTCAATTATTTTAAAAATAATTTAATAAAATTTTTTCTAGAATTCAATTATTTTTAAAAATAGTAAAATTCTTCGCTAGAATGTAATTATTTTCAAAACATTTGCATAAAATTCTTCTCAAAAATTCAATTATTTTCATAAATAACAATATTCATCGCAAGAATTCAACTATTTTTAAAAGTAACACATTTTTTCTTGGAAATTCAATTATTTAAATAAATTCAAATAAAATCGTTCCCAAGAATTCAATTATTTTCAATAAATTTTATTACAGAAATTCAATTCTTTTTAAATATTACAATAAAATTTTTCGCAAGAATTCAATTACTTTTAAAAATAATCAAGTTTTTTGCAGGAATTCAATTATTTTTATAAATAATAAAAATTATTCAAAAAAAATTCAATTATTTTCATAAATAGTAAAATTTTTTACGAAATATTTTTAAAAGTAATAAATTTTTTCTTGGAAATTCAATTATTTAAAAAAAATTCAAATAACATCGTTCCCAAGAATTCAATTATTTTCATAAATAATAAAAATTATTCAAAAAAATTCAATTATTTTCATAAATAATAAAATTCATCGAAGGATTTCAATTATTTTGAATACAATTTTACAGGAATTGCTCAAAAAATGTAATTATTCTTAAAAATTTAATTCCAATTCCTCGAAAAAATCAATTATTTAAAAAAATGTTTTTTTTAAATTCTTCGAAAGAATTCAATTTTGTCGATAAATAAGAAAAAAATTTTCCGAAAATTCAATTATTTTGAGGCATTTTATTAAAATTCAATTATTTTTATAAATAACAATATTCATCAGAAGAATTCAAATATTTTTAAAAGTAATAAATTTTTTCTTTGAAATTCAATTATTTTGAAAAATCCTAATAAAATTGTTCGCAAGAATTCAATTTTGTTTATAAATAATAAAATGTTTTTCAGAAATTCAATTATTTTCTAAAAAAATTTAATAAAATGCCTCACAGACATTCAATTATTCTCAAACATTTTAATGGAATTCATTGTAAAATTTAATTATTTTTAACAATTTTTTTCAATTTAATGATTTTTAATATCTATTACTTTCATAAAATTTCCAAACAGCAAATGTTGTTTATAAATTTAATTGTAAAAGTTGCTCTGCGAATTATATTGGACAAACGAAACGCTCATTGAACATACGTATCAATGAACATAAAAACGATAAATCTGTGGTTCGTGCACATCAAATAAATTTCAAAACAAGACTTTGATTGAAAGAATCCTATAATACTAGGTAGTGAACCATAAAAAGCGTTCTATTTTCAAAATAGTACAAATTTTCACTATAACAAAATGCTTAAATGCTATTTTTAACTTTTTAACGAAACATTAATGATTTCCTAATTTAATATAAAATGGTATTCCTCCATAATAAGATCAAAGCATTTTTCACTTAATACTCCGCATCGAAATGACTAAAATTTCCGCGTGCTTGTCGAATTTATTTCTCAATGGAATTCTAAATATGTTCATAGTGAGATAATTAAATAATCCTTACAGCATCTTATTTTACATATATTTTGTAAATTGCAACAAAAATTTTCTAAACTACTTTAAAAATTAAGCTGAACCCAAAATGAGTATACAAAATAATCAAAAATACAATAATTTATCAAAAATTTTTAAATTTCCAAAATACAATCTTAAATATTTATAAACTCAAGGATATCTCTGCGATAAGAATAGAGAGAGTGGAAAAAATGAAAATATCCATAGAAAGAACTTAATGAAAAATAGACATTTTTAGGATACAAAAAAAAGGCGAGTAAAACCCTATAAAAGACGAGTCTTTCCCAACATCCAATATCCTTAGATCCTGTCGAGCTTACCGTAGAAAAGTGTTAAAAGGTGAACTAAATTGAAAATCGATAAGCCGTTCAAAGCTTAAAGTTCTATGGCTTTGGTCACCTATTTTTAATGGTACATCATAATATCTAGATACAGTTAATTAAAAATCGTCAAAATTCGATTTTTTTTTCAGTAACGATAATAATTGTTATAAGCGTCCCCTTATTGCACGTAATCTATTTTTTTATAAAATAGTGAAAGTGTACTCATGTCTCGAACTAGTGAAAGTATTTAAAAATACGGACTTTAAGGACCAAAAATTGAACATTAGGGACCAATTACTGACAAAATTGAAAAATAAAATTCTTTTAAATATATATTAGAAAATAAAAACTTCAAATAATATCAAAAAAATTCAATTAAACATTTTCAAAAAAATTGATTTTATTGATTGATTGAAATTCATTTTTATGAAATGAAAATCAATTTTTATTAAAAAATTCTACTAGAATAAAATTATTTAAATAGAAAAATAAATAATTTATTGAATAATGCAATGTTTCTTAAAATTCGATTCTCATAAAGAATATTATCAACAAAATTATTAAATAATTGAATTCTTTCTACAATTTTTAATAAAAATTTTAAGAATAATTACATTTTCCGAGAAATTCGATGAAAATTGTTTTAAAAATAATTGAAATTTTGCAATGAGTTTTATTATTTATGAAAATAATTGGATTCTAGAGAAAAATGTTATTAAAATATTTTGAAAATAATTGAATTTCTGTAAAGAATTATATTATTTATGAAAAGAATTGAATTCCTTGAAAGAATTTTATTATTTACGAAAATAATTGAATTCCTTTAAAGAATGTTATTAAAATGTTTTGAAAATAATTTAATTTCTTAGAAGACCTTTATTATTTACAAAAATAATAGAAATTTATTATTTATAAAATTAATTGAATTCTAGAGAAAAATGTTATTAAATTATTTTGAAAATAATTGAATTCCTGCAAATAATTTTATTATTTACGAAAATAATTGAATTTTTTGAAGAATTTTTATTATTTATAAAAATAATTGAATTCCTGCAAAAAATTTTATTATTTATGAAAATAATTGAATGTCTGTAAAAAATTTTGTTATTTATGAAAATAATTGAATTTTTTGAATAATTTTTATTATTTATAAAAATAATTGAATTCCTGCAAAAAAGTTTGATTATTTTCGAAAATAATTTAATTCCTGCAAAAGATTTAATTATTTTCGAAAATAATTTAATTTCTGCAAAAATTTTGATTATTATCGAAAATAATTAAATTTCTGCAAAAAATTTTATGAATCAGTTTTCAAAATAATTGAATTCTTACAAAGAATTTTACTATTTATAAAAATAATTGAACTAGAAAATAAAAACTTTAAATAATTTCAAAAAACAAAATCCGCAATTAAACTTTCTCAAAAGAAAATAATTCCAAAGAATTGTTAGTTAAAAATATGAAAAATTCAGATTTTCAAAGATTTTAATTTGGAACCTTTTCAAAATTCAATTATTTCTAAAAATTCACGCTCTAATGCTTTTAATATTCAATTATTATCTAAAATTTTCATTGAAATTTATTTTTAAATCAATTATTATTAGAAAATTCTACTAGAATTCAATTATTTAAATATAAAAATAAATAATTTATTGAATAATTCAATGTTTCATAAAATTCAATTCTCATAAAGAATTTTATCAATAAAATTTTTAAATAATTGAATTCTTTCTACGAATTTTAATAAAATTTTCAAGAATTACATTTTTTGAGGAATTTGATTAAAGTATTATTAAAAATAATTGAAATTCAGCAATTAGTTTTATTATTTATAAAAATAATTGAGTTCCCAAAAAAGAGTTTTATTATGTACGAAAATAATTGAATGCCTGTAAAAATTTTTCTATATGAAAATAATTGAATTATTGCTAAGAAATTTATTTAAAAATTTGTAAATATTTGGATTTTTTATTTACAACGTGAGATTTTTATTATTTTATGAAAATAATTTAATGTTTGCGTAGAATTTTATTAAAAATTTTTAAATATTTGAATTCTTTTGAAGAATTTTATTAAAAATTTTTTTAAATATTTGAATTCTTTCGGAGAACTTTATTAAGTAGAAGGTATGAAAATATTACAGACGCAATTTTAAATTAATGAAATATACTTAACGTTATATTCAATTATTCACATTTATTAGTTTTGTAATAATTTTAATAAAATTTTATTACAAAGTGCATAAAAGATGAAATACCATATATTCATAATA